GACGAACGGTGCTCTCATCAATGGACGTATGTATTGTTTTGGACAAACAGTGGGCTTTTCGTCGGACATTCTCTGATTGCCTTATATGCCGACTAAGGGATCTTCTGAATTGCTATACAAAGATTTCCTCAAAAATCTACCAGCTTTTGGGGCCCGAATTGGTTCTCGTTTTCAAAAATTTTGCAATGAAGGATTCCTAATTGCTCGACAGCTTTTTAATGACCTCCGGGTACCTTCTTTCGTATCGACCTCGAAATTCCAACCTTCTGGGCCTCTCGACTTCAGTGCTAATCTTGCTTTCACTCTTGGTAATTTTTACAACAAGCCACATACCGACAACGACAAGGGTAAAGTGTATTGTTTATGGTACCCTGTCGATTGCATTAGTGGAAAGATAGTCACCCAAACCAAGGGGTTTTATCTTGAAGGTGGCTGGTTTGTATTTCCAGAGTTTCGGATTGCTTTCAACTTGGGTGGTAAGTATACAGTTCAAATTGCGTGGGATGGGAAGAGTACTTTTCACCATACGCTACCTTCCAAGGAAAAGGTTTTGGTCAGGGAGAACGGAAAAAATGTACATTATACTAGGTTGGGATGTTCGACCCAAATAACTCACACCATTGCCCGTGCGAGTGCAAAAATCGAAACCAAGGAACAATGGAATCACAAAAAAAATTGTAATCGCAGAGTTAGGGACTGTGATGATATACTACAACTCAAAGATCGAAAATGGAAAATATAGTTTCTTTCTTATTGAAGTTGATGTTGCTTATTAGACCGTTACATTATCATGTAATACTGTTTTTATGTGTTTCATGAATGTTGACAATCAACAAATATCGAAGTGTTTAGGTAAAAAAATTGAGCCAGAATTTCACCATAAGTTTGAATGAACAATTTGGTTGATGTCATGCAGAGGCAATGCATAGCGTGCAATACAATTATCAGTACCTCTTTAACAACTAAAGAGCACTGCAGGATTGCAACTCGAAATTGAGCAATGCATCTAGCCGCGGCGCCCGCCGCTGATCCGCTAGTGATAATTTTATATTACAAGTTAGTTTTGGGTACATGTATATGTACCCAGGGCTGACATATAGTGTTATTCCAATCTGATAACTGAAAGAAAATGGTGCAATATCCTGCTGATATTTTCCCCAAAAGATTTTATAAGTCAAAACACTACAACACTAAAGCAAATTTCTCTTTGTAGCTATAATAAAGGGCGTGTTTAAGTGACCAGATACTATCAAAATAAGTTTATAATGATAAACAAAATGATAATGTTGTAAATGACAAATAAACAAGGGGAACAACAACACCCACATCCTACATTTGATAATATATAACACCAATACAATGATTAACAACTTCAAAAACCAACAAAATCCAACAAGATCCCTCTGATGTCACCTTATGATGTCACTATTCGCAATGTTTGCCATGATTAAAGCTGTGAAGATGAACAATTGATGTTAATAAATGCTGAACAGATCTTCTTATGGGTGATTTTTCCCTAATATTGATAGCTGAAAACCATTTTTAGAATTCTGGACTTTTTGTAAAGTTGTCCAATTTTGGATTACTATATCTCATTTTATAGCTCTGCTGATACTGATCATTTATTGCCCCAATATGACCTACTTCCAATGTGTTATGAATAAGTTATCGAGCTGCTGTGATTGGTAAAATAAGCTTTTTGTCATGTAAATGTTTTACATATGTGTGTGTAAGTGCAAAATTCAAAATTCATACCATTTCTGTTGTGTCCTTGTAACTTTTTTGCTAATCCTCTGTTACTATTAATTTATAGGTTGTACATTATGAAAGAAAGTATTCTGCCCCAAATGAGCTATCACTCATCCTGATCTGACAACGTTTGAGATATGTAATTAGCTGAAAGTCATCATTTTTGACGGATTTTGACCATTTTCACCACTTTTCTCATCTAGTATTGATTTTCAGGTTGTGGGCGCGCTTGTATTTTTGTAGGCGCGCCAAGGTGTGTTTTCTTTGGTTTTTTTGCGCCTAGGTGCCACTTGGCACGCCGGGCGCGTTCTCTTACAAAAAACATTGCCGAAAGCCAAAAAGTCGCTTCCGTATTGTTATTTGTTCTATGTGTGTTTTGCTAGAGCTATCTACTGCCGCAAAATTGCCTTTTTGAGGTGAGAAAAGCTGTCGTAAGAGCTCACAGCAAGTTTCTGAGTCTTCAATATTGGTGACAGGACATAGAAATCCTACGATTTGGCGTAATTCTTGAAAAGGCGCGCCGACCCACATTTTGTTGATTTTTCAAACGCCTGAGCACGCCGCGGCACGCCCACAAATTGGCGCGCCAAAGGCGCATTATTTGCGCTGCGCCCACAACCTGAATTGATTTATCTTCTATCATTAGATCATCCTAAATCAATCCAATCATAAGAATAGCTATAAAATCACTCTTAAAACATTGCTACAGGAATTAATCCCACAGTACCCTTGTTTACCATCCTCAAATTTCTGTCTTTCTTGAATAACTTCAATCCTCCCTTATCAATTCCCATGATTAAAGTTGTTGCTGACTAATGTTACCTTCCTCTTTAATACTCAAAACTTCTTGAACCTTCAACACTCATACTAATAACCTAAAAACCCATTTTCCAACCCTTATACGTATATTTTCAATTTTTTTATGAATTTCTTTTTCTTTCTTCTTTCTGATAATGTTTAAATAGTTTCAAATTAAATAACTATAATGTGAATAGTTGATTATCACATAAGATTACTTCATATTCAATTTACAATGAAATAATGAAAATATGAAAAACCCAACTTTGCCCAAAAACTTCAATTCTTCTAATAATGATATAATTTTTTTAATTTTTTCTTGATCGACCTTATAAATTGATTAACACACCGCTTGACTGGTCCAGCCAAAAAACGTAACACAAAAGCACTTTTTCAATCTGCCCCTGTTTCATGGTCTGCCAATACACTGAATCTCAAAATACTCTTGGTCACACTTCTCATACCTGGATTTCTACTTTCTTTCTAGACCCACTGATGGTGGAGTGATTGTTTGGGACACATATTTGACCATCACAGGGATCTCTTTGGTCTTTACATAGTAAGATCTTCTTTAGATGAAGGAAGATGTGTCTTTCACACACAACTGATTGTCTTTACAAAGCCACCTCTGCCTGCCCCAATTCCAATTCCTCAAAACAAGTTCCAACTACAGCTGTTTCAAAAATGAATGTTGCTACTGTTATTTTTGATCATTTTTTTCATATGCGCGGCCATCTATGTTATATATCCTCCCAGCAATTGTAATCAGAAACGGAGCTCATGCAGGCTCAAGCACGCTCAAGTTTTGGCATCAAGAGTCAAAGCTGGCTTTGGGCAAGCAATGCGATTCAACCTTGGGCCGCGTCATCAGCCATTTCTCTGCTGTTCCTACCAGATTGCAAACCACAGATATGAGAAAATAAAATAAAAAACAATGGCAGCCACATTTGTTTTTGAAACAGCTGTACTACTGATAAATACATGGGCCTCAGTTGTAACTTGGGATGATCTCTTAATCTGTGCAACAAAGCTGACAGGAACAAAAAAGAAGCCCACACTCACTAACTTAACTCCACACTCAGTTGAAGAGCTCCATGGACCATAGTTCGCAGAGCGGCACAGATTCTTACCCGCGCTTGGACCATGCACGTTACGGCAAAATCCAAATACTGAAGATCTTCCCAGAGGCGTCGGCCACCGGCAAATGAGAGGTTCCAATGGAAGATTAGTGATTTATAGTGGTAGCATCCATTTCGATAGTGTCCGGTGTTGACCATGGAGAGGTGACAGGAGTCCGTCGTGGCAAGGGAAGCTCAGGGATGATACCGGGGAGGGATCCAGACTGCCCCTCAATCATAACATTTCTGATGATTGACCGGATGCATTGCTTTGCTCATCTTGACATCATACATCAGCAGATTCAGAGTGTGAAATCGACTGTAATTTTCAGTGCCATTCTTGGGGGATGTACATACGCGCGCGCAGTGGAGCGGAGCCTCAAAGTCACCAATAAATTCCGTGGCATCTCCTTCATGTAGCATCCCATTGCTTGGCATTACCCAAAATCATCTCAAAAGCCGAGACAAAACACATTTCGATGCAAATTACAGCTGTTTTCAAAAATAATGTCATGGTGCGATTTTTAAAAAAGAAAAATCCTCGCAAGCCACATCAAATACAGCCAATACAGGCTCTTCCCGGTGTGCGCAGGTTCAGGACAAAATCCGGTCCGATGTCGATGAGGCATCAGTCCCATCCCTTCCTCCTACCCAATCCCGATCGGCACGTCGACAATTTTCATCCACACCCACACCCAGTCCAATCCTCACTTCCTCAAAGCCGATTGCGCTTTGGTTCCACCCCATCCTACCAGATCCTATCACTTAAACCAAGCGACTTCAGCGCTGTCCACACTGGCAAGGTCAGTTATACTCCACTACTGACATCTACTTGAGGCGTCGAGACATGAGATTGGTGCCATGCCGTTGTGAGTTTTTCAGATCCATAAATGAAAGGTGGGGCGGTTCCAGGAATTGGTGTCACCACCGGTGGTTCAGTCGAGTGGATAGGTCGAATGATTGACCAATCAGGACGATTTCCAACCGGATTTTGAGGCGTTGAAAAGAGAATCTGAGCCATGCCGTTGTGATTTGTTTGGATTCGTAATCTGAAGTCCACCCCAGCCAATAATCGGTACGGCCTCAGCACCGGTGGTTGAGTCGAGTGGATGTGTCGCTTAACGAGGGGACAAATCTGTCGTTTTTGAGGGAGAATGGTGACTCGATCTGGTGGGTTATTGAATGGTGGGACCAAACAATAACCCCGCGGACCTGGGTCAGAGGGGACCCACAGGATAAACCCGGTCCCCCAGGCAGGCCTGTATTGGCTGTATTTGGTGTGGCTTGCGAGTTTTTTTTTTTTTTAAAAACACACCATGACATTATTTTTGAAAACAGCTGTATGTTTTGCAAGTTGTAATATCGGGTGTGCATATCTCAAGCGCCATTTACTTCGGCGCTCAATTCCGGAATGACTGAGCCAATCTAGCGCAAATTCACAAGACCTCGCATATTCTGTCTGTCCCACGCACCAGGTGAGCAGAAGCTGCTTGATATGTATTGCGTCACATTGCAGATAGCTGATAGGTAATTGCATACTTACGCTCAAACACAATCTTATCTATCTCTCATCGACCGATCCTAGCCGAGTTGATACGGCGGTTTGCTCAGAGTGGATCCAATTTGTTTGGATACCATTGTTTCGGGTCAGCGTACATTTACTCGAACCCTCTGTTGTCGACATCACTTGGCCTCATGATCGTAAAGGGGAGTCAGCGACAAATTTGATTTATGCCATGTGTCTGATCAGAGCCGGCCTACAATCATGTTCAGTTGAGGTATGTATGTCGCGTGGAGGATGTTCTATAGGGTAGGGAATGAACATGCTTGAGTTTCAGCAGTCGAGTTATGGTGCGCAGATCGATGGGCCGGTTGCTGAAATCGCATCTTGGGTGGCAATGTGTATCCTCATGATGACGGGGTTGACTGCGCTGATTATAGATCCCACGGGTTTGAGACGTCGGAGAATTCAGGACAAACCTCAGACGGCCCAGCATGGCCGGAGCTGCCCAGACTTGCCCAGACATGTCGTAGTGGTTTCCGAATTGAGGCTATACAGTGCATGTAGCAACTCCTTCGAGCATGTTGATTCAGAAAGGCTTGGCATTCGGGCCCCCTTTCTCTGCAAATATTGTCATATTCTCCTGCTAGATTACTCAATTGGTATCAGACTTACCAACTGATTCGGCGTCACATCGGCAGATCGATACATACAGGCCTAGCGTTACATACTTCTCTGCGCAAGTTTCGCAGATGGTCCTGGTGTATCAAATTAGACACGCTGACACTTGGTTCTACTTGGCTGCTTGGCATTCTTTGGACTAGGATATAATTGTCGACCGTTGTCTTGGCCTTGATCATTGTTTACTGTCACTTCTGTCTTCTTTTATAATAAGGTCCTACGCTGCCTTATAGCTAACCTTCCCTCGTTCAGCTAGCCTTTCCATTTATTCTATTCTTTTCCTATATAATAATCGATCTCCTCACAACCTCCCTTCCCCTAGAGCCCTTCTTGTTGTTACGCATCCACGGGCTTAATTTAACCACCGATTTCAGCGCTGCCGATATCGCCTCAGCACCATCCACTCGCATTATTAATTTTCGACTTCTACCTCATAACAACTTTTGTCCGTATCGAAGTCCGTCACCAGCGACTCAGACCCCCCATACAGTGCCATAAGAAATTACATCCAAACAAGCATCCCAAAGCTGATTTCGATTTTCACAAACGCCACTCGCCCAATATGACTCACGACGCCACCGACAAGACCAAAAAGAACTTCGACAAGACATTTGAGGAGGATCACAAAGCAACCAACGCTCTCGTTGACATCAGCACCATCCAATTGACCGCTGAAGATTTGTACGACAAAGACAAAGTCGACTTAGAGCAAGTCCATCTACAGGATGTTTGGAAACTGCTACAGTGAGTATCGTAATATTTTGCCTTTTTACCCACTTGTTGGATCGCTAATTGTTCTTTCAACTATCCAGAACCTCTGAAGAGGGTCTTACGCCAGAAGAAGTCGAGCGCCGTATGGCCATCTTTGGCCCCAACAAGCTCGAAAGTAAAGAAGTAAACCCTCTATTGCTTTTCCTTAGTTTCATGTGGAAGTAAGCACTTCGTCTGCGTTTTTCCATCTTTTCAGCATATTGATGGCATATTTTTTTCGATCTCTTAGCCCTCTTTCATGGGTCATGGAAGGTGCTGCCATCGTTGCCATCGTACTCTCCAATGGTCAAGGCCGCCCACCAGACTGGCAAGATTTCCTTGGTATCGTTTTACTGTTGTTCATTGTTAGTATGCTTTTTTTGCGGTATTCCACCCAAAATATCAGAGCCTGACTCCCAATCTCCAGAACTCCGGAATTGGGTACTATGAAGAGCGATCAGCTGGAAACGCCGTCAAAGCCTTGATGGACTCATTGGCTCCAAAAGCTAAAGTGCGACGTGCTGGACAATGGTCTGAAATTGACTCGGCTGATCTCGTTCCCGGTGATATCGTTGCTTTCAAGGTGCGCTTTTTGTCTTTCCATCGCCCTCATGTCGCATGCTAACTCCTTGGTCATCAGATCGGAGATGTTGTCCCGTCAGATTGCAGGCTGTACGACGCCATTAATGTTTCTATCGATCAGGCTGCTCTCACGGGTGAATCACTACCCTCAAGCAAGACCGTTGGTGATCAGTGTTTTTCAGGATCGACCTGCAAGCAGGGTGAGGCCGAAGGTGTTGTGATTGCCACCGGACCCAACACATTTTTTGGTCGAGCTGCTACATTGGTGGGAGCTGATAACGACTCCACCGGACACATGCAGGCTGTGCTTGCTAAGGTGAGCCTCTCATTTTTTATCACACTACGTTTTCACGCCCGAGCTTATACATGTCCATTTGATAGATCGGAACATTTTGTCTCGTCTCAATCGGAATCTTTGTTGTTTTGGGTACGCTCAATTGCAGTATTATCACCTGACTATCCAACTCAATCTGATCTCATTTCCCCTTTCCCAGAAATTATCATCTTGTATGGAGCCTTCCGCTACCAGTACCGTCGTGGGCTTGACAACATCCTGGTCCTCCTCATCGGTGGTATCCCGATCGCTATGCCTACTGTTCTATCAGTTACCCTTGCCGTTGGGGCTCAACAATTGGCGAAGTACAAGGCCATTGTCACCAGGATCACTGCCATTGAAGAGCTTGCCGGTGTCACCATCTTGTGCTCTGACAAGACCGGTACCTTGACCACCAACAAACTTACCATCGACAAGTCCACTGTCAAGACCTACGCTGACTACAACGCCGAAGAGGTCTGTGTGTTGGCAGCGTATGCTTGCCGGACTGAAAACCAGGACGCCATCGATACCTGTGTTGTCGGTAATGTCGGAACTGAAGTCGCCCGCCGAGGAATCCAGTTGCTCGACTTCAAGCCCTTTAATCCAGTTGATAAGCGTACCGAGATCACATACATCGACACTGCTTCTGGTCAAATGAGACGTGTCACGAAGGGTATGACTGGTGTAATCATCGAACTTTGCTCGCACAACAAGACCGAAGCTTTGGAACAGACTCTTGAAAACGACGTCGAAGAATTCGCTCGCCGTGGTTTGAGAGCGCTTGCTGTAGCCTACGAGGATGTTCCCGCTGGCCAAGTCGACGCACCCGGTAACGGCTTCGAACTCATTGGACTGCTCTCTATCTTTGATCCCCCCCGTGACGACACCAAACAAACTATCGACGATGCCCAGGCTCTCGGAGTCAAAGTCAAGATGGTAACTGGTGATCAACTTGCCATTGCAAAGGAAACCGGAAGACGTCTCGGTATGGGTGACCACATGTACCCCTCCAAAGTCTTAAAAGATGGCCCTGAACCCGGAGGCAAATTCTCCAGCTTGGATGAAATGATTTTGGGTACATAAGCTTTCATTCAATTTTCATCGCTTGACATCGCGCTAACTCGCTTTTCTTTGTCAGACGCCGACGGTTTTGCCGGTGTCTTCCCTGAGCACAAGTACGAGATCGTCAAGAGACTGCAAGGACTTGGACATTTATGCGCAATGAGTCAGTAGACATCCTCCCAAACACGATTGATCATTCCAATTGCTGACATAGTTCATTTAGCTGGTGACGGAGCAAACGATGCACCTGCCTTGGCACGTGCAAATGTGGGTATCGCTGTTGAGGGCGCAACTGACGCTGCTCGTGGCGCCGCCGATATTGTTCTTACCGAACCCGGTCTCTCGACCATCGTTCACGCCATCCGTCAATCTCGAATTGTGTTTCAACGTATGCGAAATTACTCTATCTACGCTTGCGCTGTTACGATTCGTATCGTCGTTGGGTTTGCTGTCATGGCCTTCGCTTTCAAATTCGACTTCCCACCCTTCATGGTTTTGGTCATTGCCCTGTTGAACGATGGTACAATCATGACTTTGTCACTAGACCGAGTCTTACCCAGCAATCAACCTGACCACTGGGACTTGACCGAGATCTTCACTTACGCTGTTGGATATGGAACTTGTCTTGCACTTTCCACCATTGTCTTACTTGCTGTGATTCTTCACACTTCTTTCTTCGAAGATCGCTTCGGTGTCAACGCTATCAAAGAAGCTAACGATGATGAACTTCACATGATCATCTACTTGCAAGTTGCCATCATTTCACAAGCATTGATTTTCGTGACACGGTCGCACGGCTGGTTCTTCATGGAGCGTCCTTCTGCCGCCCTTTTCGGAGCTTTCATCATTGCCCAACTCATTTCATCCTTGATTGCGGCTTTCGGAAACTGGGGCTTTACAGCCGTTAAGGGTATCTCCCTCTCCTGGATCGGAATCGTTTGGATCTGGAACATAATTTGGTTCTTGCCATTAGGTCAGTATTTGAGACTTGTTGTATACATCATGTTTGCTCATGTTCCTTTCCCTTTCACCACCACAGATCTCGTCAAGTTTGGTATGCGTGCTACTATCCGGGTCTTCAAACCCCCAGTGGACAACAAGAAGCCAATTGCCCACAACCAGCTCGCCCGCACCACCTCGCGTACTGCCTCTATCCACGAGTCGCTCTACTCCAATCGGGTCAGCTTCCTGCAACGTGCCCAGCGCAAAACTGGTCTCGGTGGCCGAGTCCACGCTGATGACCGTGAACTTCGTCGGTCAGTTTTCAACCCTCACTTTAGTCTCTTGTACAAAGCCATAATACTGTGTGCTGATTTTCTTACATCACTATTCAGGTTTTCGTCTGCCCAAGCCGTGTCCTCCGGTGCTGCTCTTAGTCGCCACTAATTGGTCACTGGTAGTCGTTCAACGGCGCACTCATACTTCTACGCTACTTGTACTTTTCCTCGTCGCACGTCTCATATGTACCCTTTGCCAGAAAAATGGTGCCTGTTTGATAGGCGCATACTATTCCGATCACGCCCGATTACCGCCTTGCTGCGATGTTTTTTGTTGGACTGATGCTCATATTCTTATCATTGTTTCGATTTATTATTTGGAGTTAAATTGTGATTAGACCGCTCTCAACCTTTTACGTCTTTTTTTAGATTTCTCCTTCTATATATCGGTTGCGCTCATTCTCCTTTCCTTTTTCGTTAGTATACGCTCGTACCATCTGACATATTTCTTAGTTCTGCAAGTGTACTTTGTTTTTATCAATATTTCCGTTTATGATGTTTGAGCTTGGTAGTGGCTTTGACGCGTGCTGGCAAAAACACGCATGACCCCTAAAATGCAATTCATTTTTCACATCTTGCTACTATGTTTTGCCAAAAAGACCCAAACTTTTTGTCTCTGCACTGTTGGCCAAACAATGTCTTCGATTGATGTCCCACACGTGACTCATTCCCCTGGGTCCTTGTTAGTGGCTTAGACAAGCTTGATGTATGTTTGTTGAGTTACAATTGTAATCAGTCCCTGTTAGCACCTTCTACAAACGGGTGCTCATCCGAAGTGTGGTGGATTGTGATGATATCATACTGTGCTAACCCAACAAACTCCAAGCTTAACGAATTTCCTTAAGTTTGAACAAACTCCCTCTCGGCAAGCGAGCCTGCAAGAGTGGGACTTAGGGCTTACCACCAAATTTGGCGTGTGAGCGAGAAATTTTGGCTGAGGAGTTTTTCAACCCGCCATAACTTCTTACCCTCCAAAAAACCCCTTTGCACCAAATAACTAAATGTGTATTTGATGCAATTGCAGAGCAATGGAAGGCTGAAGTTTGCAAAAAACTCAAGATCTCTGAGAAAGCTGTCCGACCCGTCAAAAGCTCACACCAGGCAGGCTGAAATGTTACACGTAAACCCAATTTCCAAGTCTTTCTGGAGTGCTTTCCTGATGCCAAAAGAGAGAGATTCCAAAGAACCAGTATGTGTAGGTTGAGCAGGCGCACAGGACCTTTCTTTGGTCTCAAAGGCATTTATCTGCAGGGTAAGAAGTTAGAGCATCCCCAGTGGTCCCCTGATTGTGTGAGCCCTGAAACAGACCCCAATCCTGATTTTGGGATGTAGGGGGTTAACAAACACACCTTGCACAACAGTGTACCTAAAAGTCAGGGTTCAATACTTGATTGAGATAAGAATGCTTATACTCCTGTGTTTGAGTGAGGTTTGAGTCCACCTGTTCTGTATTGGTCACATGGAAGCAGTTGCATGTGATGTCAAGGGCCCACCTAGACCTTGCAGATGTGGAGGGCCCCTCTCAAAATCTGGAGACTCTTGACGTCTCACCCCAGATTATGTGGGATGGTTTTTTGCAATTTGACCTACCACACATCATTGAGAGCCCGCACAATTGGGGGACCTCTGGGGATGCTCTTATGCACTGCCAACATAGATGCCTCGGGTTGAGAAATCCGAGGCACCATCGGAGGCAAATCCTCGGACAAACCTTGTCCGAGGTATTTGCCCGAGGTATTTTTTTGCCCTGAGAATTACCTCGGATCAAAACCTCGGGAAGCTTCTGTCCGAGGTTTTGCATCCGAGGATACCTCGGATTACAAAATCCGAGGTAAATATGTTGATGGTGATGGCGGGTTGAAAAGCTCCCTAGCCAAAATTTCCTTGCTCACACACAAAATTTGGTGGACTAGAGACAATGTGGGCATACCCACAAAGGCTGAATTGATACATTATATCTTCTCATGACTAATCTCCACACATTATGTACACTGTATCAACTTTTAATCAGTGCACATTGCCAATCCCATCATATTGGTGGTACCCCAACACAGTTGCAAAAATTACAAGATGATTTTACCAGATAACTATTGGTAGTTTTCCAGCAAGCTGTGTTGAACTGGAGTGTTCCATGGGGTCACTTTTCATTCCCTCAAACTCAAAGTACCAAATTGTTTACTGTTCCTCTCTGTGAAAGACATCTCAAAACATGCAGTTTTTGAGTATGCAAAAGTTTGGATACAACCAAATTGCTACTACCAACACTTCAGACTGACATTGTTCAAAAAGACCAATGTCATCAAATAAAATAAAATGTGAAACCCCCTCCTCAAGCTGAACAACAGGGCAGAGAGAACTGTCTTCAAATATGAGGAATTTCTGCATAGATGTATTGTGAAAATCATCAATGTGATGGAAATGGGCTCAACAGTGAGTTGCCTAATGGACATAGAAAGAGACAACAACATATTATATGTTGAGAGGAGATTTCCTTATGAGATGGAAAGTAGACAAAAAATAGCAGGAAGTTGAGAAGGTGTGAATAGGAGGTGGAGCTAACCTCAGGTTGGGATGAGACATTCCAAAAACACAATGAATTGACAATGGGTAAAACAAAGATGGAGGGTGAGTGCATTGAACTCAAAGTTTGAATTGTTAAAAACAAAAGTAAGTAAATGTTTAGGTTTGAATTGATCAGGTACAGATATGGCAATATATGTTCAGTATTTCCAGATTCTGAAAAAGAACTATGTTAACAGAATGTTGAAGTGACTGCAGATATTCCAATAGTGATGAAAAAAGGAAAATGGGACATGAACAGATACAATGCGAAAACCTTAGGGTGCAGAATAAGAAGTCAAAAAAGTTGAAAAAATGATTTGGTGATTTGTGTTGAGAAGAGAAGAACGAGTGCACATGATAGTACCAGGGGACTTTTGAGGATAGTGGATTGGGTATGGGGTTTAACACAGCTGATGAAAATGTTCATCTTTGGATGCAATTTAGATTTGAAAAGTCACCCAAATGCTTATGTGCATTCAATCAACAATGTATCAGGACAGTTTACCCATGTGAATCAAGGGGATCTGTCAGAGAGGTGATGGGGACAGGGCCAAATCACATCAAATGATTTGATTCCATTGTATACTTTCATTTGTGAAATAATATAATGTTCCAAATTATGTATGGTATATCTTTAGGTCCAACACTTCTATGTGTTTTTAAAGATAGAAACAGCAAAAAAGGGCAATAGTTGGGGAACTTCTATGAATAGGACACATGGATGAGTGATTTGGTTATCTAATAACTTGCAGTTGTGCAAGTATTTTAATGTATAAATTTATTTGTTAATGAGAAACTTGGATGGGAGTGTGCGCCTGAATTTGCTTGAGGGAGAAAGGAGCCAATTTATATCATTGAAATGAAAAGCAAGGATAACAGCCGTTACTCAGAAAATGTTTTGACCCAAAGCTATTGTATGTTCTAAATGAAGAAGCAGTTTAATGTTAGGTTCAACAAATTGTAGAGGCATTACATGGCCAACATTAGAAAAATAACACACAAAGAACAAGTCAGACCTGAAAGGGAAACAAAAACAAAAAGGTGTTACATGAAAATCATACACAACAAATTTCAAATAGGGTAATCATTAGCTGCGTTCAAACCTGACCTGGTTTCAAAAAACCCAGTTGACCCGGTGGACTTTTTGGCTGGAAGCTGTCAAGAACTGTCAACGGATACACAAAGTTACCACCAGAAAAGCAACTGGGTAACTGGGTTTTTGTGTCAACCGGCTGTGATTCCAAGGGAATTTTGGTACGGTGAAATTGTTGGGAAGCTGCTTGGGGTTTGATTCCTGAAGCAAGGAGAGGGTGCCTTATATGGGTGTCCGTCTCTACAAAGTCCTGATAAGGAAATAGCGGAGTGGTACAACTTGGTGATGTCTTATGACATCACGTCTAACAATAAAGGTGGCCGGATCCGATACAACTGGATCCGGCATACAACTTCGTGGGACAAATCTGGAGGGGATTCGTCAGAGAAAAGGAAAGACTACATTTAAAAAGCGCACAAGTAAGGGAAAGCATGCTTGAAAAGCATGTGACAAAAAGAAATGTGAGAACAATAGAAAACAGGGAAATCAGGTATCACATCACCCCCTTTTTAAGATGAAAAACTTCCTAGTTTTTGTTATGGTTTTTGTTGTTGTTTACTTTGTCCTTCACTACTCCCAACAAGCTATGTAGATAGTAATAGAGTGTACTCAAAGCTGATATTGAGAACTCCTTCAGATCTTTGCTAGCTTCTATCATGTACAACTCGTTGTGTAGTTTGATTGCTAAGTCTATGAGGTGTTCTTCTTTTCTTGCTAAAATCTCTTCTCGTTCTTCATCAATGACGGGTCAAGTTATTTCTTCTTGCATGTTTGTCACACTTGTGGAGCTCGCGAGAGGCGTAGAAGAACTCGTCTGAGTGACCTTTGAATAGTTTTAGCCGAGAGCCATTGACCTTAGCTCCCAAAATATGACCATTAGATGTCATCAAAGAGTACGTACCGTTGGGGTAGCATTCTCTAAGTATAAAAGGTCCATCCCACTTGGGATGCAATTTTGAGGGCCGTCCTTCAAAACTTCGTAATACTCTGTCTCCCACCCTGAGGTTCCTTTCATTATATGTTTCCTCAGTTTCCATATGTCTTGTTCTAGCCCTTGAGTTGAGGTCGTCGATAAGCTCCTTCCTGGTCCTCTTATGTTTTTGAATTGCTAGGTTGTGTTGGCAATGTATCAGTTCTAGATTTTCAATCGAATCACTGTACATGATGCTTACTCTTTCGGAAGGCAGTCATGCCTCACTTCCATAGGCCATGAAGTATGGCGACGCCTTCATCGAGTGGGAGTAAGAAGCCCTGTATGCAAAAAGGCATGAGTTCACATATCTATCCCAAAGGTCCTGATCATATGGGCTGCACATTTTACGTAACGCGTTGAGGAAGGTCCCATGAAACCGTTCTACAAGTCCATTTGCTTGGGGGTGGTAGGGTGTGGTTGTCACGTGTTGTATTCCGTGGGTCTCTACGAACTCTTTGAAGCCCTTAGAGATAAACTCTGATCTGTTATCAGTAGTTATCTCTACTGGTACACCATGGTTCAAGATTATTTCCTTGGCCAATTCTATAATTGCTTTAGCTGAAGTTCTTTTTAAGGTCTTGACGTAGGCCCAACCGGTTCCGTAAACAATTGCTGTTGCAAGGAATTGGTTGTCATTAGCAGTTTTGACTAGTGGTCCCACAAAATCCATTCTCGAAGACTTGCTCAAACCCCGCCCACATTGCAGCAATGGCTGCTTTTCAAAGCAACAAAAAGAAGAATTTTTCGCTCAAGGCAATGCTGAACCGACCTGGATCAAATCTTCCATCGGATCCATCCGTCCATCTGAATCCCGAAACTGCCAAACTGATCGATCTAGACCACCTTCACCAGGCTGACAAGGCGGATCGAGCTCATGAGGCGGATCGAGCTCATGAGGCGGATCGAGCTCATGAGGCGGCTCGAGCTCATGAGGCGGCTCGTGATGGCGGAGTTGCCAAACCTACAGGCGTCCCTACCCCCAGCCGAGCACGCACGCACAACGACCAACTGATTGTTGGGGCGTGTGGCATCATCTTGTGTTGACGGACGTTCTACAACTCTGAGGCTCCAAGTGCATTAAGGGTAAGTCATTCTACCTTCCATCGTTGATTGTTTCCTTTATCTGACGTGTGACCCTGGATGTGCTGATGTTGATCGGTTCCAGGACTATCTAGTCGAAGCCTTCCCCGATGGACTCCCTGATGTTATATTTTACGACAACGCGTGTAATCTGCTGCGTGTCATTCACAATGGCACAAAGGATCCCAAACCTTTCGAACGCACGATAATACCTGTTGACCCTTTCCATCACTGTGCTCACGCTGAGAGTGACCAGTTCTGTCGGATGTACAACGACCCCAAATTGTTCCCGGACTTACAAGAAGACGGCAACTGGATATTTAACTCATCCGCTGGTGAGTTAAGTAACATTTGGTATGGCGGGTTTGCTTCCATGTGCCGCAACATGGAAGCAACCAGGTATGAGTTCTTTCTTGAAGAGATGGTTGAGTTCCGTAATGATTGGCTAACTGCCGCTTTGGCTTGTCGTAAGGGCATGGAGTTTATTGGTGTTGGACCATTGTGATGATGCTCCGGACCGACACGTAATGAAAAAGATGATAATGTAACTTTCTTTTATCTTTCATTTATTAGTTTGTACCTGGTTTGGCGTTGGCGTTCATTCAGACATACATGAAATATATGTGGGATTTTGGTAGTGGTGTTTAAAACATAAAGTCACATACAAAGAAATAAATCAGAGGTTGCTTTATATTTGGTTGCTTTATATTTGATGTGTCCTTGAAAGGATAGGCATTCCTTATATATATATATATTGCAACATCAAACACTGTGGTCACCACTCTTGTGAACAAGTGATCTCTGTGGATCTATTTTTTTTGCTTGTGTTTGTGATCACTGCAGGCATTTCAATAACAGTCAGGGGTTTTGAATGTATGAACACAGTCACTGTGAGTTTTCTGTTTGTATGTATGTATGAGTTGAATACAATGAGGCACATGAGGGATGCATCCCAGGGTGAAAATGGTTGACACTGCTCTTTTTGGTCTTATTACGGCTGGTAGCAATCAAAACAAAGCAACTTGACCCCTGGTGAGGTGCAATGGTTATGTATGTTTTCATGTTATTTTATTACATCATGACACAATTCATTGTTCAATCTTTTTAGGAAATATGCTGGTCCATAATGATGGTGCTTGAAAGACAAAGGATATTGTTTTTTTTTGATTTTAGGAAACTATGCTGGTCCATAATGATGGTGCTTGAAAGACAAAGGATATTGATGTGTTTGATGTACTCCCATTGGATTGTGGGATGTTTCTTGCAGGCTGGTATATGTAATAATGAACCATCAGTTTACTCCCAAAGTAACATTAAGACCTCTGTCACCGCAACCAATGGTGGTTGTATGTATGTAATATCCACTGTATTAAGAATCCAATATGCTATGCCAAATTTTCAAGTGTTTGACACAGAGGAATTGATTATCACACACATGATAATCAATCCCTCTTGGCCAGCAAGAAGCTTGGCATTTGTCACAGCGAACAAAACAATGTCTTGTCATCAACAAGAGACGCACACTTCTTGAGTGCATCTGTACATGTAGAGCACAATCTCAATGTTACTGTCAGGATAAACTACAAATGACAACCAGCCAGCCAAAGTCTGACATGACATGTGCACCTGATTTCTCAGACATGAGGTTCCATGAGGTTCTCCCTGGAGTGGAAGGTTATCCCACAATGCTTGTGCACTGTCCTATGCTCACCAAATGCTTTACTTAGAATGATCATCCAACATCCAACAGTTAATAAGCTAGTGATCCTTGTTTAGCCATTGATTGACATCCACCCTGATGACTTGTCTCCAGGCTTCTTGGGATGTTGAACTTCTTGGCCAAGTCTTATATATATATGTGTATCATGGTTGTCTAGGGTTGTTGTGTAGGATTCCAAGCTGGGCATAAATTGGGGGAAAGGGTGTCTCATGCCTTTGGAGCATTGCTTCATTTGGTTTTGTGAAAATGAATAAATAAATGGTTTATTAATTAAATTTATCAATCATGTCAAATCACATCAATACATTACATTACCACATGATCAAAAATACATTACATCAAAATCAAATAACTCAAGTACCACATATCCAACCTAATTCATCATACACATAGCTCAAACCAAGTACAATTCTACTTTTATCTCTGGTGTTCAGAGCTGCTAGACTCACACCTGTTTGCACAAGTCACAACTGTTTGCTGAGAACCCCGTTTGCTGGGGCTATGAGGTTTGGCAACTACCTTGCCTTGAATCAATCAGGGCCACCAACTGACCACACCCATGGGACCATTCTGGTGACTCGGACTTCTATGTCACTCAAATATCTTTTGTTGGAACCAAATACTTCACATTAGTTGAATTTCATGTTTTGTCTTTTTCTTTTTACTTTTATGTGCGTGTTATGAACATAGCATTTTGTCCAGAGATTTTACTGACAACTTTTGTCTACAATTAACCTAACCACATATTGTACCACTGAATGTAGTTATCAAATTCCTGATAACAGGAAGTTTTTCTTATTCATTCATCATTAAAACTTTCTCTATCAAAACACTTTACCCTCACATTTATCTCTCCGGATCAACTGCTCCTTTATAGATTATTGACTGATAAATTGTTGTTTGATCTACATGTGACCCTGTACTCATGTATATGTGTTCCACAAAAATGTAGATTTTTCCTCAACCAAAGAGGCATTATTATACATTATTATAAGCAAGCACATTTTTGACTCAAGCGCTGGGACTGTGTGCCACAGTCCCAACGAAATGGGTTTAGCCCATACATACCAATGCCACATGAAGTAAGTAGAAGATACAGTAAAGTGAAGGGTGGTCAATACTGGAGCTGCATGCTTTGTAACATAACTTTTGCATTGGGCCACCCTGCACCACAATCACAGGGGTTGGATTGAAGGTGGACATATCAACCTTCAACTTATGGTGAATTCTCAGCCCCCTAATGTCAACAGCTATATACCCTTGGGTTAACATGCCAACATTGGTCAACCCACCTAAGGCTTGGCTTCACTGTTGTGAATTGCGATATGTGATGGATGAAGAGCAAAACAACACACACACATTTGTTGAGTGGATGATCACGTAATGAGGCTTCACATTACATGGCAAGCAGCCCACACGGCACCTGACGTGAGAGGTTGATGGGTGATCATCACCACACAAGTGACCTTGTCTTATTATAACCTAACCATGTACACATTAAAATGGTATATGACCATTTTACCCTTAACATCAGCTCGTAATATCTTATTATGTTACAAATCTACTGCACATTACCATGTTTTGTCACATACACATTGGATCCACAAACCTATTCCCCAGGGTAATTAATTGGTTTGGGATCCATTTCAAACCAACCAGAAACCTGAAAAGAAACAAAACCAACCATGATATAGGACCACATACTTTGTTGGTCTCACTTGTTATGCAGAAAGCATGAAGGCCTGGAAACAACTATCAGTTGTGGTTTGCAACAAGTGTTTTCCTTGGTACGCACCTTCCTAATTACACCCACTATGACCACAGTAGGAAGCTGCTTGATCACATGGCAGCTTTCTGGGATTTTTAAGACCAAACACAGGCTGTTTTGTAAACCAGTCCTTTGGCACTCACTCAACCTACTTTTACCTTTTACCATTTTTTTGTGGACTATGATTAGAAAAAGTTGTTACACAACAATTGACAAAGTCAATTGACAAAGTGTACACAGTTTTTGTACCCTTTTGGCACAAAGGGATGTTACAAACAGTGAAAATACATGAAACAAGTATCTATTTGGATAAGAAAAATTGTTTTTTTTTAATTTGAATATACAGAAAATTCTATTCTTGGAAAAAGATATCTCATGAAGTGAAACAAGAAAAAATGCAAGAGAAGAGATACCTCATGGACAAAAAAAAACAAGGGTTTTTTTTGTGAAGATAACAAGACAGAAAGATATTTTTTGAAAGGAAATATCAAGAGTTAAAGCGATGTAAAGGAGTGTGATAAAGGCAACCTGTGTTGCCTTTCTGGTCCATTTCAACCTACGAATCAATCCACCTCAAACTTCAAATCATATTCAATCCTCCGGGTTAACAGGTGGAGATTCAACCGGATAGTAAGGAGGTGGTGGGGTCATCCCTAAGCTACGACAAAAGTGGTTGCATTCGTGTGTGGACGCAAATACTTGCAAGCCAGCTGTTGAAGGATTCTGTAGAAACCAATCGCGCCTGTGTTCCATAATGTAAGAGCCGTCGAAACGGGTCAGTTGAGGACAATTGAGACTGTGACTTACTCAATACAAACAACAAAAACTCACGTATTATCCTCCATAGCTAAATCAGTAATGACGGACCCATCACCACGGAACCCGTAGATTAGGGCTTGGTGGTGATGATACTCGTATGTCCAGTGCGTGAAGCATTCAAAGAATCGCCCGAGATAGTTTGGAGCCCGATGTAGAGGGCCAAACTGGAAATCAGAAGTTATGAAAGCAGGAGTACTTTCTACCTTCTCACGGAGATTGAACCACCGTGTGGAGCTAATGTTCGAACCTTTGGCATTGAACAAAATAAAGTTCTGGACGATCTGGGGGCAGAAGATGGAATATTAGTCAGTTTTTGTGTGGGTGTGGGGTGATTAGTTGACTAATCGCGCACATGCAAATGACAAAGCACACGAGATAGTGCTCCGGTGAATTCGACTTGTTCGAAAAGGGCTGGTATGAACTTTTGGAGGAGGCATTCCGCGTGAGCGTACATCTGTGCAAATCGCATATGATTGTGGATGTTATCCTTTCTAGGATGGAGGGCACAGGCATCTAATGGTATGTTGTTGGCTCCCTTGTGCCACACTGCAGGGTATGTGTAACGGCCGTCCCATGAGAAGCGATGGTTGTTTTGGTCGACATCGATGTTGAAAGAAGTACAAGCCCATTTGTACTTCAAGGCGTCTGGGGTCCGCCGGGTGATACCGCCTCGTTCCGCGAGGCCAAAGACCCGGTTGGATCTCAAGCCAGCTTTGTCTTTGTTGTTGGTTGAAACGAGATTGTCCTCCGGTTGGTCAAAAGGCAGTGCCTTCCAACCGAGGTCCTCAGAGGAGGTGAAGCATTTAGCAGGTGATGCTGAGGGGTGGGAGTGAAAACGGAAGATCAATCAGTGAAAGGACCTAATCCAAACTGGTCGATTTTGAGGAGTACCCACCAAATTGAAAGGACGTGTTAAGGTTCATCATTCAAGTTTGTAGCGGCAGAGATCAGGAACAAAAACAAACAACGACAGATGTCAGAAGTAATCGGAGGGGATGAGGTGTAATGGGGTTGGCGTATGCGGCGATCGCAGGTCAGAGGGAAAGGTGGAATATTCACAGGCGGAGAGAGCAGGTCAAATGAGATGGGAGAGGCAATGTGGAATCAAGGAATCAAATGATACCGTTAAAGAGAGCGGTTTTATGATGTTTGGAAAAAAGGGTCAATGGACCAAAAGGGTCAAGGAGATTCAGATTGCATGTGAGTCGCACAATAATCCACCACACTGAGACCCCAGCCCATCATCAGGTTGGAAAAAAAAACAAGAAAACAGACGTTGCGAGGGCTTTCACATCCTGATGGTTGACTAGATTAATGTTTGGTACTGGGTGTGGGTGTTTCAGGGTGTCGTCGGCGCTTCTGCAACACCCGTTTAGGACTGCCAAGGCCATGCTCGCCTGGATTGTTTGCATTGAGACCTAAGCTACTGACCATGTTGAATTCCTTCTGAAAATTCCTCCGGGTCCATGCCACGGTGATACTGTCGCTGGTGATTGTACCCGCTTCTGGCCATTGATTGACCCAGGCCTGCATCCGTTCTAGTCCAACTAAATCAACCCAGGCTGCATAGCGATAGACAGTTTTGTCGTGAAACGTGTAGTTGCTTCCGTATTGCTTGATCCATAGGGATATACGAGCCTTGCGCCGCGGTGGAACCCCGGCTGACGTGTACCAAGCAAGCAGTGAAGATACCAAAGTATCTTCACCAGGCCACTCTTTCAACGCGGCACCTTGTGTTTGTTGTGGCATGAAGTGTGAGGGCGAGATGATGTACCCTTCGACCTGGCAAAACATGCAATGTTGGGCATCATCAACATTGTTGTCCTGATCAAAAGCTAACAAACTCATACCTCCTTGTCGACTTGACCAAATAATGCCGGGTCCAAATGAGAATATAAGTCGTCGAAATTGTGAAGGGATTCCGGGGTTGATGGCATGGGTGCAGGTTGTGGTGGCTCTAGCTGTTTGGGCGGAACGGTGTCAGAGTCAAGTTCCAGATTGACTGGCGCCTGGCCAGATGGAGGGGTGTATGATGTTGATCGTGGTTCTGGATCTGGAGGATCACCATCCGACCTGTTGGTAGTGCTGGTCACCTGTACGACACTCGCTGGGGCAGCGGGTCCGGAGGGTGTCGAACTTCTGGGAACCACCGGTTTCCCCATGCCAAGTCCTTCAAGGACATCACGGACCTCGTCGGTGAGGTAGGCACGCTGGTTGGGTACGCACAAGACCAGGTTCCTCGAGGTTTGGGTGTAGCGATGAGGAAGATTTACTGGGATCTCCCGCTAAAAACCAAACATAGACAAACGTTTGGATCAGGTCTTTTGGGATGGATTAACGAACAGCGCAAAGAACTTACCCATTTGTGAATTGACTCTTCCCATACTAGCAGCTGACCCTTCCAATTTGTTCCAGCCGCCGCTTGAGCCTCACGTAGCAGAGACTGACAGCTATTGAGAATGGCCACAGGCCACTCCTCAAAAAAGTGAGAAATCACGGGACTATCGGTACCCTGTAACCGGTTAAAATGTCAGTTATGCAATGGGTAAAATGATAGATTGATTCATAAGTGACTTACGTGTGTAACAAGATGGAGGCTGACTACCTTCCCTAAATCGATTCAAGGGGTCGAAGCCTTTCGAACAGCCTCCGCGTGTTTGAGACGAGCCGCGGTCAGAACAAGCATGCCATCATCGGTGAGAACACGTCCGACTCTGCCAATGCTCTGCGCACACTGAGCCGGAAGGACCTTTGGACGCTTGGGCACCACGGGCATTTCGTCGAACTTGGCGGATGTGAAGGTGGACCGAGGAACTACCGGTGGCGTGTCAATGACTCGATGAACATAACATTGTCCAGGGGTGCCATATTCAAGGCAGCACTGCACATTTGGGGGCAGATCAGGCAGATCAGTCAGCGAAGGTCAGTGAGGTATTGCCAAACCCAACGATCTGAACTGACCGATTTACAGAATCAAAGGGCACATCCGGCATGCCCGGCCTTCTTATGTTTATTAGCTGTGGGTCCTATGGTTGGGCGAGTACATTCGAGGCCTGGGCCGGCTCGTTTGGGTTGTTTGAAAGTCTTTGACTGGCTCTCGTTAGGGCTGGTGCGAGGGGCCACTGGTAAGCCACGGATGTTCACTGGGGGTCCGTAGGCTGAAAGATCAAAAGATATGGGGTAAGGTGCCCCAGCGTTGATGCATCCAATTTTGTGTATCAGTTGATTGAGCTTGAAAGTACGGTAATAATGCGTAGTGTTTGGGCACTGGGGTCAAGCAAGGATAACGAAAGGTAGAATAAAGTATTAGGACGGCGAGTTCGATCAAGATCAAACTAAAAGGAATCTACTTACTTTTACATTAACAGTATCTTTTTCTTCGTTGTCGGAAAGATAAACCAGCGAGCGAGCGTGTGGAGCAGGGCACTCAGGACATGCAAGGCCCACGAGACCTTTATGTGCTGGGAGGGGTAAGGTGGGATGCGAGGGTATTTGCCGATATCTTGCACCGATATAAGGGTTTCCGACCATTGCGTGCGAGGAGGGTGGTTTGAACGGATAAGGAAAGGCGAGGATGGTGGTGCCATTGAGTGATAAAATGAGATACATTGGCCATAGACTTGAAAAAGTTGACAAAAGGGGTGTTTCATGTGAAAAAAAATTGAAGGAAGATATCCCAATGAGGACAGCACACATCAAGTCTATGGCTTTTGCGAGGTGCTTAGATTGGGCACAAAGCCCCGTGCGCAGCATGTGAGTACGGACCTCCCTCACTACAGGCATCTGGGTAATACACGTATGCCAATGCCCTGATGCTGTATTCTCATGGGTGTATTCTCACATGAGAATTCTCACAGAATGTACGATTCCCCGATGCTCCCCGTACACTCATGTGGCTGATCACAATGATTGGAAGTGATGTTGCCAAGAAAATTGCTTCAAAACGACTACCCTTAACTTAACAAAGTCCCTCTCGCTAAATTAACAACTACCCCGACTGATAGGCTCTGTGACTACAGAAATGAAACACGCTCCTCAATCGAGGGGCTACATAATGAGCTCCCCATGTTAAACAGTTTCTCGTCATCGGCACTTACACCATGAAGACAAGAAGGCCCGCCTTGTCGTGAACTGTTCAAGGAAGGATCCGAGCCAAGCGCCCATGATCTCGTGGATCCACGTGAACCAACCCCCAATGCGGGCTCTCATGATTGTGCAAATGTGCAAACGTGACCACCAGTCATTAAGAGTGGGTATGCCTACAGTGCGACCAAAGTAAATCCAAAGGCTGGTCAGAGGTGAGTATCACGATTCACCGTCTCTGAAAGGCTTACTTTTGCCAGATAAAAGCGCTCTGTTTGAAGCTCAAAGTTCCCATCATTATCAATCATCATCTGATATTAATTTTACTTGACTGAGACTGGATCTCATTCAGCTATCACAGAATATACCTTGTGATTACTCCCTTATCTTTTTACTTACTCTTATAGTCAATTACTTACCTCACCTAATTTTTCCCTCTGAAACCCCTTTGCTCCTCCAGAATAAGATTTTCACTGAAGCTATTATCCTCAGAACGGAACTTGTCAAATCCAAACCATATTAAGATGGTCAGTTTTTGGAGTCTTACAAAATAATTTTTTGGCAACTTGTAAATGTTGACATGCAGTTTTCACGTTTATTTGCGCTAGATGTCTCAATGGTCTTTCAAACTCCTTGCGGTATTTTTGAGCCTCATTGCAATTATTGCACCCATTGCCGAAGGCAGAAGGATGTCACCAGGAAACGGCCATGGGGGACCACCAAGTAGGACTGCACCAAAGATACCCAAGTGTGGCCCAGCTGCTGCAAGGTGTAAGACAGGAACACCTTCATGTTCAGGTACAAGACCAGTGTGTAGCCAGGGGGGTGAATTTATTAAGTGTACGGTTCCACTGATATGTGCATAGCCGAGGTCCTTTCATCCAAGAGAGATTTGCTAGTGATGATTCATTCAAAATAGAATCCTCAGGCTCAATTGTGCGTGTTTGTCTCATGTTGTTGGATTGGATGAGGAGTCCAGTCAGATTGACCTGAGTAAGAGTGAGGTTACAATAGAAGCTTCCCTTGAAAAATTCGCATCTTTTGTTATTCTGAAACTCATATACATACGCACACGTAAGCTGGAACGGAGTAAACACGCCTGATGCGCACCTGTGCTGACGCCTTTGAGGAATTGAGTGTGGCGCGGTGGTTTGGCACGAGACTCTGAGTTCGTTATGATACAGACATGTTGATTAACGCAAGACGGCCCCGGAGGGTCTGACTCCTAACTGCTACAACCAGACAAACCCGATGGGGTGGTCACTAAACAATTAAGATCAAGTATATAAAAAATATGTCCCAGAAACGGGAGGGATGGCGGGAAACAAATTTTATAAAGTTTTTAAAGAAGCTAAGATAGTCAAAGACAGTAACTGAGCTAAAAAACCGTTGATAATAGATGTGGATGATGCAAATAATCAGAAACGAAATTTGTAAAAGAGATAGAAGATCATACAAAAAGTACCGAAGTAAGTACATGGTAAAGAGCTACAGAATACGTCACACTGTGCTTATCCAAAGTGTTAGTAAGATCTTCTATAGATGATGAGGAGCGTCTTTCACAGAACAAACGAATCGTCTTTACAAAGCCAGCTCCCGCCTTCCTCTATTCCAATTCGTTAAAACGAGTTCCAACTACAAGGAATTGAGTGTGGCGCGGTGGTTTGGCACGAGACTCTGAGTTCGTTATGATACAGACATGTTGATTAACGCAAGACGGCCCCGGAGGGTCTGACTCCTAACTGCTACAACCAGACAAACCCTTCCACCCGCTAAATAAATGACCGGATGATGGTAAAAATAAAGAACTCTTGATGGGGAGAGCGGGATGAAAGACCGCGTGAAGGGTGTGTTACCGGTTATGAAGGTTTTTAGACTAAAAACCCAGCGAAGGAACGTGGCAAAAATCAGACTCAGCACAGAGACGCGTTCAAGACATGAGCGCTTACTGGCTGGACCAAACAGCTTACTAGCGGGCTAGAAGGTTTGGTGGAAATGTACGAACTTGATCTGTAAGAACTGAGAACGACATGGGTTAGCGAAAGTCTTTTTAAAGGCAGTCAGCGGAGCTAACGTACCAAACGCTGGTATATTTGGTGTGGACCAGAATATAAGTCACCTTAAGTCAGAGTGCGATCACTGGACTGTAGGGACGCAAAAGAGAGTTAGCCTCTGAAGTATCAAAAAACTCGACGAGAATTTTGACTGGACTCACGAGAGATGAGCCAGGAAATGAGATCTGCTCTCCGATTGTTGCACCCGACAAAAGTACATGTTTGCGGGACGCGAGGAGGTTCAAGACGGGGTGGCCTCGGACATAAGCTCGATAAGCGTCTGAGGACCATCTACCCATGGTTTGAATGAAGTCGAAAGGCATCCCGGCTTGGGCTAAGGCGGTTGCGCCACCCGAGCGAAGAGAGTGTCCTGAATGAGTGCCACCAAAGATGATATCCAGGCGATTGATGACCCAGGAGAAGGTAGGAAGAGAGCCATTTTCTCGGATTAACCAGTAAGGATTGCTGGGAAAACAAAGGTCCCTGTTGATGGTATAAGTCATGAGGAAATTGAGGGGACAAGTATATTCTCCTTTGCGATGGTAAATGGCGACTTTATTACTTTTGTATTTCCGGTCGCCCTTATGGTATGGAAGAATGTAGGTTGCCACCGTGCCGCAATTCGAAATCTGGAGGGAGGAACGTCGAATATATTTGCGAGGGTTACGACAAGAGATATTGTCAGGGTCTGTAAGTTCACCTAGACGATGAAGACCAGCGAAACCTAAAGTAATAATGGTGTTAAATAACTGATCGTCAAACGTGGAGTTGAAAAATGAGGCGCATAAACCGATGTCGCGAAGGGTCATTGGGTTGGCCTGATGGGTAGGGACCGAAAAAAGTTTTTCGATGGCCTGGAGGGAGCGACGGACGCGGGAGGAGGCTCTCGCCTCAACAACGAAAGGAAATTCGTCCTGGAGAAGTTGAGTGATGCCAGTGAGGTAGACGTAGACCGAGCCAGGTTTGATTTCTCGGCCGACGACTGAGATAAAGTGAGAGAGGTTTACTTCATTCGGGATGAATTCGGTATTTTGCTCTAGACAGAAAGATCGGAATTTATTCACTCCTGATTGATACTTTGAGACTGTGGCAGGTTCAAGTCGTCTAGAGATGTCCTGCTGATTGAGCGCTTCGCGCTCAGCAAAAGAGAGAACCGTCGATTTGACCTTCGGAGCTTTGGGCATTGAAAGGACGGTTGCGAGAAGGAAGATGAAACTTGAAACCCCCGTCGATTGAGGGGTCAATGTCGGGAAGGAAGGAATGAACGATTCCTGGAATCAAGATTTTGGTTTCCTTGATTCGAGCTCTTGAGAGATGATCAGCGATGACGTTTTTGTCACCTGCGAGGTGCCTTACCTTTATATCTAGATTGTATTTCAGCATGACGGAAACCGCGTGCCTGAAAAGTAATCTAGCAGTAGGACTAGGGCGGTGAGAATTAAATAAGGCACACACAGAGGTGTTGTCCGAAAAGATGACAACACGGTTGATCGGCCTTGACGACGGTAAAATGAATGAAGGTGTAAGGTCGATTGCAGTGACAACTGAGTACAGTTCGGCCCAAAAATTCTCACGAGAAGGTGCAGGAAGAGGCTTGCTCCAGGCTCTTTTCAATTTTGGGCACCAGATACCCATGCCCGTAGGGCAGGCGTCGCAAATGAAGGTGATGTCGGCTAGCTCAAGGTTCCAAAAAAGGGATTTCAACATCAACCTACCCGGCCATAGTTCGAGGGTGTTTGCCAACCAAGTGAGGTCCTCGGTAACTTCCTTGTTGCGTGGAACATGAGCGTTGCGGATCTTCTTGCCAGCTATCTTATCCCATGAGGATTGGATAGCCCATCGTCCTAAAGGAAACATGTTGACTGCCCAATTGGCCCAGCCAGTGATGCGTTGCCAAGCTACAAGAGGTTGAGAAGGGGGAATAATAAAGGATCGGAGAGCTTTGACGAGACCGTCTTTTTTCTCGGAGGGAAGTGAAACTGACAGAGCATCGCAATTTATTGCGTGTCCAATGACATCAAGTTCAGAACCAAACACTTGTTTGGGCCAGGCCCAAGGGATGTTAAGGAAATCGAAAAGTTCCAAAAACTTGGCCTGGTTTAAAGGTATCGAATGATCCTTGAAAGTAACTAGTTCTGGAGGACTAACGCCCCAGGAATCATCCATGTAAGCATTCAACTCTTTGATACCAAATATGTAATAGGCGATCCATAGAACTAATGAGAAAAAACTGCACCATATGTGGGGAGAGGCGGCGGAGCCGAAATTGACACAGCGATCGACATGTAATTTCCCATCAATCCTTACAATTTGACGATATTGCCATTGAAGATGAACTGGTAATATCCTGAAGGCAGAGTCAACATCAGATTTCCAAATAAGGGATCTTTTGTTAAAATGATGGCGTCGTAACAAAAAAGGAATCAAAGACGCAATGCTGTCTAAACGGATAGCGATGTTTGATCTATCGATGAGACTATTTGGGGAAGGATTACCATAGCTCATATTAGTACAAGTCCTGATCTTGCCGGAAACTGCATTCGTAGCTAGGCAAAGGGGTGAGATTTTCATGCCGGGTTGAAGAGACTGAAACCCAGGTGAATAACGGCCAAGAGCCATCTCCTTATCACGAGTCGTTCTGAGACAGGCCTCCTCTTCTTCTCCAGAGGCATGATTCTTAGGATTTGTAGTTTCGTCCGAAGGTTTGTCCGAGCAAGGCCAAAATCCGTCTGTAAGGCCGAGAAGAACGGAATCCACAAAAGGGCGATTTGGGTGATTTCAAAGGAGGAAACGGAAACGTCAAACATTGATAGGAGAAACAATTTTGAAAATATCAGGGCGTCTTCGGATAGCTCTAGCAGCGTAGGTATCAGAAGCCAGAGGGGGAGCGGAGGGGAGGGGTCTGGCGGTTAAGGAAAAGTCGACTGAGGCTGAAAAGCCATCCACCAGAGAATCGACCTCCATATTGCGCAGGAACCTGCGCCCGTTGGGCTCATCCGTGAGCGCGGCCTCCTCGATGATGCTCATCGCATCCCAACTTGTTGCAAATGTCATGTTGTTGGAGGCATGTGTCGGCGGTGAAAGGACAGACGTTAGCGTTCCAATTGTTGCAAGGCTGGTCACGATCATCAACGCCAACAGTACTTTTGATAGGATAAGGCGGAAAATCTCGTTTTGTCTTCTTCTTGGCTTTCTGGCCAGAATCTCGATTAGAAGAGTTTCCGGAGTTCCAATTTGTGGGCTGCCGATTCGATGATTGACCGGAATTCCTGTTAGAGGAAGCTTTAGGTTGAGGTTGGTAGGAGCTTCTGGAATTTGACTGAAAACTTTCTTTTTTGTCGTGAAGGTTTCGGCCTTGGAAATCTTGAGTTCAGGAACGTCGTAATCGCCCCAGGCGATAGAAGGCCGTTGAGCAAACTCATATCGAACTTCTTCATCGTAGGCTTTAACAGCTTCCCAAGGTACTTTGGAGGAATGCTTGATGAGACCCGAGATGTAATCGAAATAGGCTTTGATTGGATGCCTGACCGAATAGAAAGCCGCCAAATAGGCATGTCGAAGAACTTCCATGACCTGAATGAAATCGGAGAGGTTTTCGACTTCACGAGGTTCAACTGTGCCCTTGACGTCCATCTTCCTGGACTTCCTGCTGAAGACAAAGACTTCGTTGGAAGGTCTTGAAGACATTTCTCCAAACAGCTTGTTAAGATCGATAACCTTGTATTCCGAAAGGTCCTGAGTAAGAGAAGTAGGCCAACTAGAGGGTTTATTTGGAGATGAATTAAAAAGGGTGACACAATTGTCGATGTCCTTTTTATATCGAACCACCAACTGTTGAAGTGAAATCGCGGTGGGAGAGGCCTTAGTGTTGGCCAATTCTCTGATAGGTTTTGAGAATAAAGGAGCCGAGGTCGAGGCCCTTGAAACTGGTGGGGAAACAATTCCCGGATTACCAAGCTCGCTATCAGATGAGTCGGGATCAGATTCAAAAGGAGGAGTGTGAGGAGAGTCCACCTTTCGTTCTTGGGGAAGGGGAGGAGACGAAATCCTTCTACCCTTGCCTTTGTTGCGGGACGCAGACCTAGGTGGAGTGGCCATAGGCCAAGGAGCTGTCGGATTGGGGATTGGGAGACCCCTGCGATCCACTCGCTGTTGAAGAGAGCGAGGATTCGGAGGCCCTTGTGGAGAAGGGCCCCGAGAATGCCTGAAAGGACCAGGACTTTTTGGTAGTGGCAAGGAGGGAACTCGAGAACGAGATTTCCTCTCGCGTCGTCTAGCGTTTCCGGCACCCAAGGGTTGAATTCGGGAAGCCAAGGGAGAACGAGACCGCTGGGAAGGAGGCGGGGGGTTTTTAACGACATCGTCAGGTCGGTCATCCTTGCTAGAAGAAGCAATGATGCCTGAAGTCGCAGGGACGGAGGAAGAGGCGACAGCGTTTTGAGAAACCCTTCTTGATGAAGAAATTTCCGCCAACTTGTTCGTGATATCTGATAAATCATCGAGGAGCCCTTTGTAGGGGCGGTAGAGGGGAACGTCGGTGTGAGGCACTGGGTAGGAAGCATCCAGCACGACAGGTTCATGTGAGAGAATTTCGCCAACCGGGGGGGGAACACCACCAACTTTGAAGACGCGACGTCCAGCTCGGCGGTCCGCTTCAATGGCGATTCTTGCGATAGCAGAGAAATGGAATATGAAATGTGGATCGGAGGGAGAAAACCTCTTCGTGACTTGGTCACGAAACTGCCACATCGACACTTTACTACTGCCGCCGATTCTCTCGCAGAAGTTAAGAAAATCATCGATTTTATGAAAGTGCGACTCGAAGCTATTGATAACATCTTGTCTAGCAGTACCATCCATAATATTAACAAAAACAAATTTTATAAAGTTTTTAAAGAAGCTAAGATAGTCGAAGACAGTAACTGAGCTAAAAAACCGTTGATAATAGATGTGGATGATGCAAATAATCAGAAACGAAATTTGTAAAGAGATAGAAGATCATACAAAAAGTACCGAAGTAAGTACATGGTAAAGAGCTACAGAATACGTCACACTGTGATTATCCAAAGTGTTAGTAAGATCTTCTATAGATGATGAGGAGCGTCTTTCACAGAACAAACGAATCGTCTTTACAAAGCCAGCTCCCGCCTTCCTCTATTCCAATTCGTTAAAACGAGTTCCAACTACAAATACCAGTTCTTTATGAATTGCATTCGGAGAAACTGCGGACTCCGAATGTTAAGGTCAGAGAGCTTACACTAGATTGATTAGCTTGAAATCTTTTGAAATCCACAAGTTCAACTTTCCATTTCAATTTCAACTCGATCAAAGGTTTGAAAAGTTGAAATCAGATCGATGATTAAATCTATGTTGATTGTCTTAAGGTGGCTATATCTATGAAACCAAGATTGGATAGTTGAAGAATTCAGTCTTGTTTAGAGAAATGGATGAGTTGTTCAATCCTTCATTATCGCTCTCGCTAAGAGCCATCGTACATACATGCATAAATTGCAGCTAGCCTTTATGTTGTAGTAAAATGGCAAAAGAGGAGAATTCCTTCCAAGACAGAGAATAGCGATCACCCTAGATTTGATTTGAGTTAAGGAGGATAAGTACGAATCATCACCCTGATTGCTTAGACGATTGGTGTGCGTTATCAAAACATTTTCTAGTTGAGTTCAAGAAGGCCGGAGCCGAGTTGGAAATCAAGGTGAGATAGTACATAATTCATTTCAGGCAGGGAAAAGAGACCACTCCTTTTTTCACGTAACTCATCACGTGAACCTAAAGCTCTTTATTGAAATCATGCCAAGATTGAGTGGTACCTTAAAAAACTTTTCGCTTGTCTCTTTGTGATCTCTCTCTCTTTACTTCTCTTGACCATTGAGATCCCAAATCGAATTCCATCAGATTGTTTCAATTACATATCATCATCAACTTTACCGCATATGTTGTCCGTTAAAAACCCTACAGCCTTCGGGTTCCATCTCATCAGTCTCTTGAGTCTGTCTCATTCAGTATGGCAGATCTATCAGCCAGGTAAGCTTGTGAAGGACCACTTTGAAGCAAACTTGTGGTAGTCATTTAGGACATAAAGAATTGATAGATGAATGCAACATTCCATGACGTAGGTCCAATGTCTTCACATTTTGATACCCTCTTTGGAGGTCGTTCTAATTTCTTAACACTATGGGGGTCAGTCATTCAATTTACTTTACTTCATTTAAGCCTTTATTGATTCACCAAAACCTGCTATAGTCTTGCTTCCTCTTGGATGGTGTTTGCCCTCAAGCTTTTCCTTCACTTCAAATCAAGCAAACCAGGTTAGTATCATCAATAAGAATTCAAAGTCCTATCACTGAATCCGGTATAGCTTCCAATCTTTATATTCGCTAAAGAGACCCCTTTGATTCTTCCAAACCCTCGTGACCGTTTTCCCACATCCCTTTATCATTTCTCGATGAATGCGTGTTTCCTCATGAAGGTTTTTTGGAAAAATTTCACGCGGCTCTTAATTTGATCGTACTCTCAGTAGAGTCCTCAATCACTTTCATTTATTGGTCCGTGTTAGCCTGCAAACCAGATTTAGTAAGCCTTTTCTGACTCATCTCGACGTGCTGTTCAAAATAGACGACTGACTTCATTCCGGATGAAATTGATCCATCAGATGATTCCTGAGCCTGCTCTCGCACCACCTCTAAATCTCGATCTTGCCTTACATCTCTATCCAGCGTTATTTCTTTGGTTGGATCATCTCTTCTTTGCCTCCACGACATCTTCTAGTACACCTACCCTTTTAATCGCTTTCTTTGGGTTCTTATACACTTCCTGGATCGAATTTTCTTCTGCATATGGAAACGATTACCAATGTCAGTCTTTACTTATCCTCATGCTCTCATTATTCATCTCATTTTTATCAAAGACACTGACTCATGACACGGTTCTGGATGGGTTTTTCATGTGTACCATTCCAATTGTCGACATGATCAAGTTCCTTACCCATTCCTTACCATAGCTGACCGTCCTGCACGTTATGTCATCTACGCGAGTTCAATCTTTGTTACTCGGTTTTTCCATTTTGTAGCTACTTCAGCGCAACGACAAGTTCGGTCCAGGTGAAGGACGGATTTAGTATCCTATCAAGAAGTGTGAAGTCGACTAGGCTTTAGAACATAATTATCTACATTAATCTCAACTTTGTTCACTGGACAATTATTTTCCAACAAATGTTGTACTCTTATTGCATCTTTGATTTTTCAAAGTTTATAAAACTTTCAACTTTAAAACAGAATGAAAACAGAATTTTATGAAAAACGATCTGTAGCTCATAAGTTCAAAGAAGGACACCACATCATGTTTAGGACTTGAAAGCTCCCATAAGGAGGTTGAGTGCGGCGCTCGCCGCCCATTTGGCTAGTAGAGCTATAAATCCAGAAATGGACTTGATTGAACTTCAATGAGATAGTTGTAACTCAGGATGTAGATATCACAGGCTGAGGCAAATTGAGATGAGATCAGTGGAGGCTGTTTTTCATTGTAGTAGAGGTATAGAGGACCGGAGAAGGCAACCAAAACATGGGACTTAGGTCAGGCAAAGGCATTAATTTTTGATGAAGCAGGCATGACAAAGGGGTGTGGCCCTTTTGCTTTATTATCATAGAGGAAAATCCCCACAAGCAATCAAACAGCTTGCTACATTGATATCGTAGCAAAACAAAGGAATGATTTGCAAAATACCAGTCACAATGTGTTCAAGTGAAGATGACAAGGTATACCAGTCCCTGCATGTCTACCCCAGTAGTCATGTCCAACTCAGTCCATTCCATCATTTGAGTTTTGAATTTATTTCATTGCTTTGAAAGTATACTACTAAGGTATGTTCAGACGGCAAGCTCCCGCTGGGCAGGCTGAGAAAATATAACCTAGTCAGTCAAACATGACTTTCATGTCAAAATGAGTCAAACCAAGGAACTTACTAGTTCTTTTGTTAGAAATCACCCAAGGAGTAGAACGATGGAAGAATAGTCCCCTTTATGGTCAGCTTCTATCTGCAACGGTGAAGCTAAAGAGTTTCTTGAAAGAGATCTATATGTCATATCTACTCACGGATCCTGGATGTCAAAACATCGAGCTTTCTGACCCTGTCTAGGTTCAGCGCAACCTGATGAAAAAAAAGATTCAATATTGAGATTGTTTATGAGCGGTTGATGATTAAAAAACAGGCTTACCATATCCGACAAAAACTCCATTTGGCATCAATTTCTCATAATTAGGACATGATATATTTTGATGGGATTGCTTTAAATTTGCTAGTGGAACGTCGTATTTGGCCTCAACACATTGCAAACCCACTATGTCATACAATGTCATCAGTACATTAACATCCTGTTGCAATCATATCAGGAGATTACAACTTACGAGGCACATTGGCCTTACAGCCCTCACACGCATAGTCATCAGTGGTATGCTTAATGGTACACACTTTGGAGAAAAGTTCGAAAGGTTTTTGTTAATGTTCAGTTTTCTGTGAGTAGATGATCGTCTTTACTCACTTCCTTGAGTTTTTCCATTGGCTTCAGGACGCACGCGATACCCAAAGGAACAGGTGACTGCATTCTTAAGAGGAGGTCCTAAGCATACGACGGATGTTGAACAATACACGAACAGTAAAACCAAAATGGCTCCGGAAAACATGCTAAAACTATCTTTTCTTTGGATCAACTCTGTGGGTGCAACGGAAAAGTAACAAAGTGATTTTCAAAGTCTGTGAATATCTTGCTGATTATCAGGAAATCTGACCGGCAGATTAAACAGATTGAAAAAAGTTGTAATCAATTTGGCTCGATTAGTGTGCACTTGGATCTTATTGGTGAGTAATGAGAGGAAAGCATATGGCTCTTCAAGGCCCGGTATTTATACACTCGATGCTGAGCCAACGAAGATTGACTCACTGTACCTAGTCCAATGAGTGTCGTATGGCCACCTCAGGGTTCGAGTTGATCGAGGTGCAACAACCAACAGCTCAGGTCTCGGTGAACGTTTGCATCATTTCGGTCATCGACGTGACGATTCCTAAAGATAGTCAGCATTCCTATCTTTCGAGTCTCTAGATAGCTTGACCACGGTTCAACTTGAATGATCCGCAACTGGTACATAGCAATGGATCACGCGAATTCTCGAACGCGTCCGCTACCGATATGTCATGGTCTTGACGGTGTCACCGGTCCTCATAGGTCTCCAATGAACTGATCAACACTGACGGCACGTCGTTCAGAGCCGGTCGTGAAGCTTAACGTCTTCCGTGCGTCGAGATAGTCAAGAACTTCTCATTTGGAGTCGAAGAATTTTCTGGCTGCCACATGTCACTGGCACTCATAGTGTGTTGCATTTTTCGCCAGAACGAGTGCTGATTGTATTCCTCAAAGCTCACATCGTTGCATGTCACTACCCTACAGTCAATCCAATTTTGCTTGTCCAATCGGATTTTATTTATTTATTTTTCACTGCAATACAGGTGATTCTATAAGCATAAAGATATGAGTCATATGCTTATGCTGGAGTTGTGAGTCTGACCAACCACAGCTGACCATAGTCCACAGTGCTTGATTATTACAAACCTGTCCTCATCACCATCCCTTTGTCCTCACACACATCGTTCCAGCTCAATCCTATCTTTCATCATTCATCCTCTCAGCCAAAGAACCGTAAGGTGAGTGCTGACCCAGTCTTCTAGGCTTTGATTTCAGGCTCTTTGTTTCGATTCAGACCTCTCAGCTTCGGTTCAAACCTTCCCGTCTTCAACTCAACCCTTGGTGTCTTTGATTTGATTATGTAAAGTTCACTCACTCAATCAAAAACTAGCTTGAACACAATACTGATCTTCCTTTGAATTATATTTTCAGTTGAAGTTCATTAGATTCGAGTGGATTGTTCAAAGCACCTTTATCAGCTACTTCCAAAACACTCACAATTCCTTCTCAAGCGAATGATGATAAAGGATTGAAGATAAAAAGTCTCGATTGCTACCCACACAATATCAAAAAAGAAGGTGAATTGTTGCCATCACTTGATCACCCCAATGTCGGTTTAATCTACTCAAGCTTATGTTTAGTGAAGTATTGTCTTTAGATCTTAGTCTCATTTTTAAATCCTTCCTTTAGGCTTCAGCTCCAATTCGTAAACGTCACATCCAATTGTTGAGCTCTGGATGTTTTTTTGGTCAACTCGATCGTTCCATTTTTATATAGCATTCTTAGCTTTGGGAATCTGTCGCATCAGATCAAATCCAAAGCCTTAATGTGTATTCTGCTTGTATTTCATCTTGCCTCAGTTTGCTGTTGTAATAAAAGACTCTTTGAATTACAGTCTCTTCCTGTGATGCTTCAATTACTTTTCAAATGCATTGCCAGCATGTCTCAAGGTGAGGAGATCATGTGCAATGATAGTGGTCACAGATAGGCTGAGTACCAACAGTTCTTAGACCGGAAGTCTGCAAGGAAGCCAGTGACTACTAGCACCAAGTATGAGCTCAGGTTAGATGGCACGAGGAAACAAGACAGTTCATAAAAACAGTGCTTCTATATACCGTTGCAGGAGTTTCATACACTCTAAGATCAAACTGTGGATCTAATGAGACACATTGTACTCGTAGGCAACCGAAAGAGTCCAGAAAGTATATCAATCATAAGAACTCAGAATGATGAATATAAACTGTTGATGTTATTAACAATGGCCATTTAGATGGCAGGTACAAACTTCTATATACAAATAAGACACTTATTCTTTCTTGAGTATAGGAACAACAAAATCACATAGCAAGAAAAAACTACAAGATCCACAGACTGAGGCAGATTGATGTGAAGCGTTGAGAAACCAGGGTAAGTAGCTTTACTGATGATTTGCAATAAACAAGTCACACCTTATGAACTAACAGTATCAACACAAATCAACTTACACAGGATTGATCGATGACGCGGAATTGGATTTAGTGGATTGATTGATCTTCAAAGTACTTTGAAATGTCTGAACCAAAGACTAGAGCTTAAGTTGACAGACAGAAGGGATTTGAGAGAAGTGAACCATTTCGATTAGTGCGTGTTTAGTTGGTTAACAAGAGTTGAGTCAAAGAACAACATACCTTGAATTAGCGATAGGGTAAGGACTGATAACGATTTGAGTTGATGAGCTCGAACATATCCGATGAACGGACCAAAACATTGACCTGGCTGGATGGATGAGGAAGATATTCAGCAATCCAATGACTGATCTCAATACGAGTAAGATATTCAAGGAGCTTACTTGAGTCAAAGCCGAGATGTTTCAGTCGAGACCGAAAGGGTTGAATTGCGGAATGAAAGCCTAAGTGATAAGCCCAATTCTCAAAGGATAGTGACGAGGTAGAGAGAAGCGATTGGATGATTCAAGTGATGCATGGATGAGTTCGGAGAGGATGGATTGATGCTGAATCCTGAATCTGATGGGTCGAGACTTGGCAGCATCGATCATCAACAACCCTCTACACTTCAATTGTGGTATCTTGATTGAAGGCTATGTATGCTTATAAAATGGCCTGTATTGGCCTGTATTGATGTGAAAATAAAAAATAAAAAATACGAATGGACAAGCAAAACTGGATTGACTGTAAGTAGACCGGGTCGGTCGTAATTCTTGGTCTTTTTGCAATACAGTTGGTAACATCAAAGCCGTACTAGGAGGTCCAACGGGGCTTTCGGGGCTGGTACCGGTCCCAAATCTTGGCCAAGTGATCACATACCATCATAGGTGCATGTAAATACCTACGATTTTTTGTTATTTTGGAGGCTGTCACATGAAGTTCACTTTGTATTTTGAGATATTTATGTACAAGTAACATAAGTACATATATTCAACATGATAATTGGATACGTGTCAGAACAATACATTTGTAACTTGCAGTTTTTTGTCTTGTCCAAGATCATCCTCAACACACCAAACACCTTACCACACCAGCATTCTTACATCAACAAAATGGTTGTCAGTAAACTGAAGAGAGCCCAACGCGCACGCCGATTAGCAGAACGTCAAAGAATTGATCAAGAGGCTCAAATTGTGATGTTTATTGAAAATGAGATTGCGGACACTGAAGATGAAGATGAATTTGATGATCAACTGCAAGAAAGACTATGGCCAGTTTTCACAAATCGTGATACTTCCACCTCCACTCTAGGGAAACGTAGGAACCGGTTTGGACAAGCAATACGGCATTACAACCAACCTGTGGCGCATTTGGATCCATCAAATAAAAAGCTAGTCCCCAAGCCTGAACCCAAGCAGACCCGACATAACCGCCAACAGAAGGCTCGACAAGCTGTTGGAAAAAATATCACATTCATGTCAAACTGGGTAATCAAGGAACCACAAGTTGCAGATCCAGATCCAGCAAATAAACCAGCACCTGTGGATATCTATGAGATTGAAGATAGTGATCAGGAAGAACATAGTGGTGATTGGGTAGACTCGGACATCAACAATGACGGTCAGCATACAGAAGACAAGGCTGAAGCTGCCAATGTCCCTGCCGATGATGGATCTTTAGTCTCAGTTGAAGAAGATTGGTACAATTCATGGGTAGATGATCAAGTTGACAGATATCGATCAAAACCAAAGAAATCCAAGAATGATTCTTTGATTCCAGAAAAGCTGCAGAAGATCAAACAGAAGGTTGAAGATGATTGGGTGGAGTTGAACGAGGCTATTACAAAAGCAACCAAAGAATACAAGCGGTTACATACAGAAAGCAAGAAGTTCAAGTTCCCTTCCCTAATGTTGGATGAGCTTCGAGAATACAACAATCGAAAACACGAACTAGCAAGGTCTGGCGTGAAGTCTGCTGCCACCAACGCCTCGATTCTCACGGCTCAGTCCTCATGCCGCCGTCTTCCTTCTCCAAATCCACAATTCAGCTCTGGAGTTGGACGAGCCAAGAAAATCAGATTTCAAGCAAATCATCTTCTCAAGAATGGAGTACTATCATTTTCGAAGACTGGACATGCAACACAACACAAATCTATGCTTGATGACAAGCGTGTGGCCGAAGCCCTCTTGAGCTGGACATCAACCAAAAAGCCTGGCGAGGTGTGTACAAAGTATTCAATATTTTCAACTTGCATCATGTTGACCACTCACTCTCTTCAGGTTACCCCTCGAAGCTTTCACAAACACACCAATTCTATCCTACCCAGTTGTGGATATGATCAAACAATCTCACAAATGACAGCTTATCGATGGATGTATAAGCTAGGCTATTGACCTCAGGAATACTCGAAATCAATATACTTTGATGGCCATGAGCGGGCAGATGTGGTTGCATCAAGAAAAGTATTCATCGAGGAGGTTGAAAAGCTGCGAATGCTCTCAAGAGAATACCATGGAGACGATCTTGATCAATTCTCTGAGGTGGATCCGAAGGTATTGGGGAACGCCCGCGAGACTGTCTTTGTTTATCACGACGAGTCTACAGTACATGCACAAGAGCGCCCAACTCTTTCTTGGTTATTACCTGGTGTAACCGAGCTACGATCCAAGAACAAAGGTAGACTGATACACATCTCAGACTTTATACTTGAATCAACCGGTCGACTTGTTTTATCCCCCGAGTTCATCAAATGTCAGTCTTCAACACCATCTGTAACCGATGCTGCGGTGGTCATCCATCC